GACAAAAAAATTCTTGGGAGTTGGAAGGTGGGTGGTATGAAATCTGCAGCAAATATAAATATCTGTCTACTGAGTGTAATTTTGTTCTATATGTACTGCTTGGGCATCTTTCAAAATTGATTTAGATTTCATGCAAAAGCATGGACAGCATCCCTGCACTTCATTGATAAAAGTTGATGTGATTTTTCATTCTTTTGTAATACAGTAATAGCTTAAGATTCTGTTTTCTCATCTTTCATGTTCATTCAGTTATCTCCTTTGTTTTGGCTTTGCATGTGCTAGTCTGTATTAGTGTACTGTACTTGCAAGTATATGAATTTTGGGTTGTGGAATGTATTGGATGTGTATGCATATGTGTATATATTAGTTACACACACACACACACACACACACCCTCTGAACCAGTTGCTTCCGTGGGCTGTTTTATATATTTGGTATTGGGGTCTAAATTGTATAATCATATATTTATTTTATACTTTGAAAAGTCTTAAAGGCAGCAGTAGTACAAAATCAAATAAAAGTTTTTGGTCACTATTCCATTTTTATTGTAAATGGTATTTAACCTCTTTTATTATAGAAGCTGCACATCCTTGCTTTAAAATCTATCCGTAATATAATTGTTACTTAAACTGGTTTAATACTTTATATTTGAATAGGGAAAGCCATTTTGCACATTTCATAATATTTTATCGTTGAAATGCATGCAGTGTTACTGTCCGTGCTTAGAAGCCGTTGTCCTACTGCCAATAAAGGTGTCTGTCGCAGAGGGCAGATAACATTTCAAATCTGAAAGGCTGCAGTTAGAACTAACATTTTCAAAGCAGAAACACTGGGCCATGTTAATGAATAATTTGCTTTTGACAACCAATCTTATTTAATGTTATTTAAGGTGTTGGGGAGTAATAGAAATAATGGGAGGAGGGTAAACTTTTTTCTTGCTGCTTTTCTGATCTTTTCCCACATTAAGTCTAATTAATCTTATAATAGTTTTTGTTTGTGTAGGCAAAATCCAGTTTCTCTAGAGGGAAATACTTTTATCAAAATTCTGCAATAAAATTTTGAACTCAGATTTCCCATTATGCAGCCTTTTGCACAGGTATCGAGTAATTGGACCATAGTTGCAAGTGAATCTCTACTGTAAATGGTCTGCAGATAGCTACAACATTCTTGTCTTCAGAAAAATAAAGGTAGCCGCATAATTTTTTAAATTAATGGCATTTTTACTGACATTTCCATGAAGTATATGAAGGGATAGGGAGTATTTCATTTAAAAATCACATTTTGCTTTGTTTAATGTGACTATTGCTTTGATGCTGACCATTTGGTTATTGGTTATTCATATTAAGATATGAATCTTAATTTTTCAGCAGTATCTGAAAGTGAGCTGAATTTTAAGAAATATATGTGAAAACTAGACTTAATTTTTTTTCTTTCAATTTTGCAGGGATGAAATATAAAAGCTACAACATCTGATCCAAACATAGTGTTAACAGTGGACTGCTCATCTCCAATTCTTAAAAGCTTTTTCCAAACCAACAGCATTGCGGCTTGTTTTGGACCGTGTTACACTGTTATCAGCATGGAAAAGTGGTTTTTTTTTTTTTAATTTTGTAGAGGTTTAATGCAAGTTTGATAATGGACTGATGGAAAAAAATTAAACCTGGGCAAATTGTTTCCTTTTAATATGCCCTTATTTTCATCTGTTAGTGATATATTTCTGCAGATAAGCAAATGTATCTGCAATTTACAATTCGGAAACTTTCTAACCATTTCAGCTCCAATGTTTGTTCATCAAACTGCTTACCTGCACTTTCTTATGCTATCTGCACACTTAAGATTTGTGTTCAGCTGACTCCTAGATCCTACTAAAATGAGATGAATTTTTTCAAAGCTATCAACGTGGTATTTATAGACTAGCATGTAGCATATACAATCAGCAGCTTTTCTTCTCATTCAGGAAATCAGATATGTATATCCATTTGGAAGCATCAACAAGAATAACATTTATTTTATGTCGCTGTTCAGGATGGACATAACTAACATAGTTCTTTCCTTGTAGCATAGCTAAGAAATTCATAGCTGAGTATTATTTCTAGCTGATTTACAGACTTGAAGTACCTTGAGTGTAATATAACAATTACTGTGTAAGTTATGTCCTAATCATTGAACAGTTCACAGTACTGCTTTGCCAAATAAAATCAAAAACAAAAAAGTGTGGCAAATAATGTTTTCAATAGAGATCTCTTGGGTAGTTGAGAGGTTGCTAAAACATTTCTACCAATAATTCACTTTCCCCTATATAGGAGTCATCTTGCATTGGAAAAACTGTACTGATCAACCAGCTTCAGAGTTTCTGAAGTGTCCCAGAAAACAGCTAAAAATATTACAAAGACTAAATAATCCAACCCCACTAACCTTTAACGGATTCTGGGAAAGAACCATGTCAACTGTTATTCCATATGATAGCAATGTCAATTACACTGATGAATAAGCCTATATATTTATATAACAACTTCTGAAGACTTGTCTATTTTGTTCAGTGAAAAATGAATATACACACTCATGATTCAAGGAAAGCCCAATGATTCTGATTTTAAAAAGCAATTCAAATTTAAGTCATCTTCATAGCAATTAGATGCCATTTGAAAAAATGTGTGAATACACCAAATATTTCAATTTGTTAATACTGAATCTCTGATGATCTACTTGGGAAGCCATTTTAGGATATTGCTTTGGACAAAATAATTTATTTGGGATTTGACTAGAATAACTTTGAGAAAAAGGAAGCTTTAAAAAAAAAAAAAACCTTAACCCAAAGTCTTCTGAAAGAGATGCAAATTTTGCTCTTTCCCTAATTGAATAAAAACAACTTTTCTCCCTCATTTTCATTATCACCAATTAGTCACAAAAACATATTTTATTTAAATAACTCAATGACCTTCTATAAATAATTTTATACATTTAATTTATAATAGTTGTTTAACAGTTAATTTGTACTCCGCAACTAATTTATGAAGCCATGTAACATTTATAGTCAAATATATAGGGTAGTAAAAGTTACATGAAATACTTTGGGTGTAGCATCCATTCTTTAATTTTCTAGAACTACTACTGCATATAATGAATTAACCCTAATTAAATAAATATTTGATAATTACAGAGGAGTCAGCTTTAAAATGTTACTTGAATTATTGAAATCATGACTTCATATGGCCTTTATAAAACATGAGCTAATGCCGGTTTAGGGAAATAGCTAGGTTTAAGCATTATAAACACAGATTTTAAATTTAAAAGAGTTCAGGTTACACAGTTCTGGGAAGAAATCTAATGCCAGTCAGAAATAAAAAGCTAAAAAAGGGGGTGGAAATAACTAATCGTTTTGCGGATAATATGAATCATTGTAGAGAATGTTGAAATCTGGAGATGAATATACTGGCATTATGTCTGTAAGAACTGCTCTTCATGTTTTGGTGTTTAAATCCTCAGCTTTCAATTAGTGGCACATATAAAGCATCAGAAAACAGAAGAGGATGGACTGTCCATTATATATAGTCCTAAGTTCTTTTGTGTTATATGTGAAAATAGAAAAAAATACTTTTAGACAAGCCAGTCTTCATTATGTATGATTTTTCTGCTTTAGGTCTATTTAAATTAACTTAAAAGAGCTGTAGTTTTAATCAGTGTTTCACAGTGTGTAATGACTCTTTATTCTCCTACTGTTCTACAAAATGATTGGTGCACAGTGCAGCATAATTTGACAAAGTATTGTATTGAATGTAGGGAGGACTGACATAGGGAAGGACAGCGAGTCTTAGTACTGAAATGGAGGATGTCTTTGAAAAAAACAAACTGGGATGGTATATTAAGCAGCAAACAACGTGTTGTTATGGATCATAAAAATAGAAGATTTTATCTTACAATTCTAGCTTTTTCATGTTAGGTTTTAATGAAAAACCTGACTAAGCATGTCATTCAAATACTCAAATATTTTTTGATGATTCTGTCACTCCATTTTATTCAAATACCTTTATTCATGCTCCAGTCCACTGGAGATGAATTAGGAAGCACATATTTTGTATTACTTAAGAAAAGATACTGCTTTTAGAACTAAACAGCACTTTGGATCTGAGGAGGAAAAAGCACATAAAGGCATTTATGTGTTGACAATTTTTTAAAAAGCTGTGACTTTTCCTGGAACTGTACAATTGTCCTTCATAACTGCAATCCTGAGAAAAGACACATTTAGTTTAATGTGTTATGAACAAGTGTTGAGGCTTGTGCACACTTACATGTTTTTTTCCCTTTGAATCTGAAATGCTTTACAACCCTAATTATTTAGGAAGTAGCTGTCATGTTTAATGTTGTCTTTATTTCTAAATCCAGATGAATCAGCTGACATATGTTTGGTGAAGAGGAAAGATAGCTTATAATAACTGATATACAGAAGTACTTTGCAATATATGTTTAAGCCAAGGCATACTTTTAGTCCTTCAGACAATTGGATGAACTTTTTAATTGATGAGAACTTAAAGCTTTATGAAAAGTTTATTAATTGAAACTGCAAGAAGTTGCTAAATTTCTGTGTGACAGTTAACAGAATCCTGAACTTTTAATATGAGTATTAAAAACTTCAGGCATATTGTTTTTTTTATTGATAGAAGTAATACTCCCTACAACTGAATAATTACAAAACAGTTTCAGCTCCTTATCTAAATGTTAGGCTTTTGGAATTTAGTATTTAAAGGAACCTTTTAAAATAGAGCATCTTTCCCCTGTTATGTGCTATTTGCCCTTAGCAATCTGAGATTCTATTGCCAATACAGGCCTGGCCTACTTACCATATATATTTCAATGGAAAAGGTAAATACCCATATAGAATGGTAAGCAAGAAATGTTTTAAAACAAGAAGGCAGGTAAACAAAAGATTTCTGATTTAGCTATTTCAACATTTGAAATTATATAAACTAAATGAGTAGATAAACTTGAGTGGGTTTTTTTTTTTATTAACTTATTTGAAATGATGGCTATATTGTACTGCTCATTTATTGATGGCTTATTTGTACTGCTACTTTTAATTAGGAATGTGCAGCGCTTCAGGTTCAGTTCCAATAAGGTGCTTTGGAGTAAGCAAAAGCATTGAATAAAGGATTTATCTGCAACTCTTTAAAACATGCATGCTTCCTTTGCAGCTTCCCATGAGCTTACATATAGCTGCTTTAAAGAATTGTGGATGCATACAGTGCTTAATTCACATGCCTGTGTACTCTGAAGATTAAAGTTACAGATATTCTTAAAGTGTTTTGAAAAAGGCAGAAATGAAAATAGAAAAGATTGAAAAGCTGTAAGGAGAAAGAAATATAAGCCTAAGGTTATATTTATCTCCAACATTGGAAGATTAAAATAGAGTAGCTAATTTAAGTAATACGGTGAAACTGTCGTGCCTTCCTCAGAGATAAAGGAGAAACTAAAATTGGTGCTCCACTGCAAACAAAAGGTTTCCAATGCATAATTTGAGACTGCAGTTTTCATAGATGATCTAGTACTGTCTGATTACAATCGAGCAGAACCTGGCTGCACTGAGGAACAAGGCAAAGTACCGTGGATGTCAGAACAGTCATGTGACATAATGAGAACTGTATGCCTGATTTCCTAGTTCATTAAGAGGAATGGGTTACTTCATAGCCATTCAATAGAAGTCAAAATGATTTTTCAGGTGTAATGACATCGCACACAGGATGCAAATTGTGTCATTTTTATCACGCAACATGTTATATGTGATGCACAGTACATCATTTCCATCATGTAATCTCTCTTGCATCCTCTGACCCCCAACCTATGGAAACCAATAGAATGCTTTTAGGTATATAGTGTCTGCCTGCTTTCATTGTAGAAAAGGAAGCTGAAGCGTGAATTCCAAGTCTCCATTTATATATTCCAAGTGCAATTTTTCATGGGAAAATACTTTGACTAGATCATAATGTCACATTAAAAGAAAAGCGAGCTCTACAAGTTTGGAAAGTAATTCCCTATAATGAGTCAAAGCTCTAACAAAAATACATATTTGGATTAGATGTGACTGCTGTGTCAGTATCTGCTGTGATGTGGACCACTGCAACAGGACATCATGCTATTGCCAGGAGCATGGATCAACCACTAGCTTCCAGTGTTTCAAATTGAATTTTATCACCACACAAAATCAGTTCGCAAAACAGAGATGGCTAAAGAGTGCAAAGAGGATAAGTTTAAAAGAAAATCGTTTGTACGCTAAAAGTATTTTAAGCTGTAGTGGCATTGCACTTGTTCACCAGTAATATGATTTTGTTTTGGTGGGATTGCAACAGATAAATTGCATTAGCTCATACCTCCATCATAGGCTATTCTTAAAATTATTCCATACTAGAGCCTCTTGTTGGCTTGGGGATGAAAAGCATCGTAGATCAAAATACCTGGAGAACACCATGTTGGTGAAAGATACCACATGCCATTACCACTGTACATCAGTATTTCTTAACCTTAGCATTTGACTAGATGTCAACTCCTGGAATTCCATGCTGGTTGGGAAACTCCAGGAGTTGAAATCCACACATCTTCCAAGCTACCAAATTTGAAAATCAATGGTGTTCATCTGTCAGGCCTTGAAAGAAAATTTTGGGGAAACGGCTGATTTTGGTAACACAGTTTGTGAGATGCAAGAGGCACACTTTTGTGAGAAAGCTTGATAGCAAAAAAGAGTATCCTGAATCTTGCTCTAGAGATACATTCCATTTATGAGGTAATCTGACTCCTCAGATGTAGTGGGGCGCGCTTTCTTTAATTTCTGCCGGACTAAACGCAAACGGCAAGCGACCATGAGCAGCAGCAAAGCAGTGATGGCTAACCCCAAAGCCAGTGGAAGTACAGCACCTAAAAACAGTAAGAAACAAAATACTAAGTAGGTAGATAAGGCAGAAGCATCATATTAGCCAAATACATAATTTACCTTCCTGAGGATTTCCCAAAACAGAACCACTTAAGGGGAGATGAGTATATCTGCTCTATCAGGACATAGTCATGAGGGAGATATAATAATACTTCCAAAAGTTCATGCACTGTGGATGATGCCTTTTGCTCCGTGGTGATTCACTATATATTTTTGTATATTTTCTCGACACAGAATAAATCAGTCGGAAAAAATCCCCACATCTTTACCTGTTTCTGGGACTGGAAGGCTCTTTTCAATCTGAGTTCTCTTCAAGCTCACAATACCATTGTCATTCTTATCTGTGTCTTTCCCTGAGATTCTAAAATCTACAAAAACAAAACAATGCATTATCAATATATATCTCAGTAGGACATGGGTGTCAAACTTGATTGTGTCACGTGACGTATCGTGACATAACTTTTTTGCCTTTGCGGAGCCGAGGTGGGCATGGCCTGCATGTGATACATCAAGCCCACGGACCGCAGTTTGATACTCCTGTGAGTAGCAAATAAATTACATCACAACAGTCAAGTGTGCTTTAAGAACTATGACTTACACTAAGTACTGTAATAAAATTAGAAACATCTTTATTTGTGGACTACCATATTTGCGCTCTGAGACCCTCTTCCGGATGAGATTTTAACATAACTAAATGATACTTTTTGCATGGCCCAATTGACTGGATCATGGTGCTTTTAACTAACTTGACTTGCTTGGGGCTAAGCTAAATCCCTCCATTTGATATGAATTATTTATTGGGAAGTTACTTGATGCTCACTTCTGAGACTAGGATGTCACCAACATAAAAAAGGCAGAGTTAGGTGTGAAGTAAGAACTGTCTATTGTAGCAGTGACTCTGGATGCAGCACTTTTTTTAAATAAAATATTTTCCTTTAGAAAAGTGGGGGGATGTAAAATAACTGGTAGGGTGTGGCATGATAGCTTCTTTAACAGTAGTTGAAAGGAATTTAAAAAACGGCTATTGAGAGATAGACACAGAAATCTTAGAATAAATTGTGCCAACGCACCAATCAGTTAACAGGAAAAAAAAGGTTGTTCTTAAGAATACAGTCACAAAAGCAGAGACTTAGTTTTACTAGATGCAGCTGAGCTTCCACCACACACATTGGTTTAGGTATGGTTCACTAAATTGTATAGTTTATATAAAGCAATGATTATATTACAATTTAACACGTGAAATCTAGCCTAGAGCAACTGTCTTGATTACAGTGCTTTGATAGGGAGGCTTCAAAGTGATGTTTTCAAAATGAAGAGAACAGCACAATTTGGTTTAGTCAATAAACTTGACCAATAAGTTTGGAGAAGTAGTTCCACTTAAGAATGATTGCTGACTGCTCTACAAATTCTTTTTCTGTTCTTAGAGTTGGGAAATTGGAAATACTGAAAAATGTTTACCTTAGACAAAGTAACTGACAAGGGCCCAGAGAAGTGAGATGACCATTTGCAAGCCAGTAATGTTAAATGATAAAATTTTAAAGTTGGCAAACACTGCCAAGCCCATGTAGATAAAGTACAAAAAAAATCAGTATTCGATGCCATTCCAATATTTACATGCCATGCAAATCTATCCATTATTATGATAGATTTTATGCAGACAGATCTGCACTTTAGCAGACTGCAAAGAGATGATATTCTTAAGCTTTTTACCAAATTTTTCTCCATCAATAGAAGAATTGCTAAAACACAGTTGGGATTACAGTGGGATGACAGAGCCAAGTGTTATGCCATGTTATGTTGTGCCACTTCCCTACCCCAAAAGGTGATTATTACCATGAACTTTTACACATTCAGCAAGACAATCAGATTCTTGAAGAAAGTTGTTTTCATTGCCTTTGCAACCACCATAGATGAAATGCATGCAAGTGCCTGAAAAAGCATCAAAATGCCAGCGAGAGAGGTGTCTGTTGCACGAACCAGTGGCTAGGGGGAGCAAGCACTGCTCTGTAATTGTAAGAGGAAAAATAGATTAACTCCAAATCCTTGTAATTACCCTTAATACATGAAAATCAGACAGCAGTTAGGTTTTGTAATGTATTTGGAATACATTATCGCAATTTAAGCAAAGGCTATAACAGGATTCAGAATCTTGCCCTTATCCCTTTTGTTGACACAGTTCCCAAAATGCATGTTGTTTCCCCCTACCGGTGAATTTAACAGAATCCAACACCTGGAACTGTCTAGCTATTTCTATTCACTTCATTCACTGTTCTTCGTACTGAAGATGTTGCTTCCCTATATAAGGCATTTATCCCTTGTATAGTCCAGTCAACCAATCCTGAGGCTATCACACCGTGGAAGCACAGTGGGGAGGGTGAGATGGTGGCAATTTGTTCATAGGTAGTCTAATGACAGAATGTCCCCACAGTTCTCCCTTGAGTGAAGGGAAGTTTGAATAAATGATAGAACATTATGCTTGTGTGTCGCATGGCATTATGTGCTGTTACTATTCCATAATAGTCATTTATCTTCAAATATATAACAAGCTAGGGAGATTACAAATAGTCCTCAACTTATAACCACAATTGAGCCCCAAATTTTGTTGGTAAACGAGACAATCGTTAAGTAAATTCTGCCCCATTTTTGCCCCTTTTTACCTCAGTTAAGTGAATCACTGAAGTTAAGTAGTAACATGATTGTTAAGTGAATCTGCCTTCTCCATTGACTTTGCTTGTCAAAAGGCTGCAAAAAGTAATCCCTTGACCCTGGGACACTGCAACCGTCATAAATATGAATCAGCTGCCAAGCATCTGTATTTTGATCACATGACTATGGGGGATGCTGCAACATTCGTAAGTGAAAAATGGCAGTGAGCCGATTTTTTCAGTGTTGTTATAACTTTGAACAATCGTTAAACGAATTGTTGTAATTCAAGGACTACCTCTGCTGATTCCATCCAAGAAGGAATATTCTACTAGTAGAAAACACTTCTGCCCATATGAAATGAAGCCTCTCATTTTCCGAAATCCCATCCTGTGTTCTCTCAGGCAATATTGCTCAATCTCAATTTTAATTTTCAGGAGCAGCTTTGCAGAGGCAAAAGGGCTGCAATGAGTAGGAGGAAACCACATAAGCGCATGAAAGCGGGCTCCAATAATACAAGAATAGCACTGAATATAGCTCTCTCTATTATTATTTTTCAGTCTGTGCAAAATATCCAGGGGAAATCACTGATTAATACACTGGTGTTTTTGAGATACATATGTAAATTATGCTCTATCTTCTGCCCAGATATACCCAACCTTGATTGTATACATAAGTATTACTCATCAAATTATGGAAATTACCTGTTTTCCCAAAGCTGTAGCTGAATTAATTACATGCATTTCTTTAACAGATTTCTATAGTCAACTCAAGGAACAATTGTGAAAATAAAACCTTAAATTTTTTTTGAGGGTCAGCTTATCCACAAGTGGCACATTTTTCATGGCATTTTGGTTAAAAATTTAAGGGTCAGCTTATTCTGTGGATAGACTTATACATGACTATATACAATTATTCCACATTCGAGCAAAAATAAACTTAACTTTGTAAGTAAGCCTATTTACTAATATACTCTTCTAACACCGTAATACATTAATGTATATATTCATACATCATATGAATCTTTTGACTGCAGTGCCCAGTGTAATAGCATTTTGCCAATTCATAGGACTGTGGAAAAAAACAATGTATTCAAAATATAAAGGTGGAGGTAGTGGATCGAGTTAACAACAGATCCCACCTCCCCCCAATTCTACCCCACTCTCCCTTGTCCTCCCCACATGTCCTTAGATTTTAATCTTTGGTTTAAATTTATTTATGTTTTAATGTAGATATATTTTTATGACTGTAATTGAACCAAAGTTACCTTATGATAACATGGGCAGCCAATAAATTTTATCAATCAATCAATCATATTGTTAATCTTACCTGGTATAAACCCTGTAACGTGTTTCTTTAGTCCCTGAGAGGGTGATTGTTTGATTTTCTCTGGTTCAAGTACTTGACTGCTTAGTGTACTTGTTTGGGTGATTTCAAACGTAAGATCCTTGTTGGCTTTTTTCATTAATTCAACTGAATTTTGTTGAATAGTGTCTATGTGAGTTATTGCATTCTGTCCTGAATTATCTGAGTGTAAAACGAAAACACAAGAACATAAGGAAAGCCCAATTGGATTAGGCCAAAATCCAACTTAACTCATTGTTTAGCTTCTCATCAACCAGATACCACTGAGATGAGATAAAGGAAATGAAGGTCACATCAGTTTGTGAGGGACTATCTTCATTTTCTCACTCAAAATATCCTTTCATCCCTTCCTGCTCAAAAATCCATTCTACATACCCGCCACCATTTTATTTTCTTTTGTAGACCCAAAGCGCCTGGACTGCAACAATTTAGCCAACTGCTAGAGGATAGCATAATGATAGTCAAAACCCCAGATCTTTGCTAGCATCTACTAGCCAATTGGAAACTTGCAGTGTAAGTATGCTAGCTATACGCTACACAATTAACTTTGCTGAAAACATGGGGGCAAAGAAAAAGCAAGGGGGACAGATGAGGCCTCCTGTGTTTGCAGGACCCAAGGCAAGTGCAATCTTTTTAAGCCACTGGTGTGTCTAGATCACTGTTTCTCAACCTGTGGCAACTTGAAAATGTGTGGACGTCAACTCCCAGAATTCCCAACCAGCATGGGTGGGGGAAGTCAATACATCTTCAAGCTGCTAAAGCTGAGAAACACTGGCCTAGACTCAATCAATACTGATATTAGTGTGCAAATGGTAGCATTGAAAAAAAAGGAAATGTTGCTTAACTGGGTTTTTGTCTCTTCTACATGTTTTCTTTTCAAATATTAAAAGATACTACTAGTCTATATGCTACCAATGGAGTGACTGTGTGCTTACTTTTCTTGGAAGAAAATTAGGAAAACTTCTGGCATGTTCAGAGATATGCAAAACGTTTGACTATGGCTTTAAATCATGCTTGTACCACAAGCTCAGTGATGATGGTTCTTTAGCTTTTTCATAGGAGCCGTGATGCCACCGTGGTTAGAACGCACTATTGCAGGCTAACACACTGCTCACAGCCAGGGGTTTGATGTTCTCCAACTCAAGATGGACACAGACTTCCATCCTTCCAAGGTTAGTAAAATGAGGACCCAGACTGTCCCAAAGGTTCTTTTTCAGGAGGCAACTTGAAAAAATGATCCAGAAAGTCCAGTTGCCTCTTGAAAAAGCACCTTTGGGACAACCATGACCTGGATGACTGAGAATCTCCATAGACATTTAGAGGACGCAGATTGTTGTGGGCAATATGCTGATTCTGTAAACCGCCTCGAAAGGACTGTAAAACATATGAAGCTGTTATGTCTCCCCTTTAAATGCAGGAGGGCAAAATGAAACAAGCAGTTCACAAACCAAAAAGCAAACTTTCCCAAAAGGACTGTGGAAGGGTTTTCAGTCCTTAGCAATAAATCCAAACTCTGTCCGGCAAACCTGACATGGCTATAAATCCCAAAGCCTCAAAGAGTTCTCTCCGTGTGTTCAATTCCCATAAATCACTTTGCTTCTGGCAAAGCTCACCAGCCAAGCCGTTTCCTTTTATCCTCTAAGAGGGCATGTTAATCTCCTTAATTAGTCACTGGCTCGACGCCTCCTTCCTAATTGAGATTGACGCCTCATCTTATGTCTGTTTCTCACATCTAGCCAGGTTCTTTCCAAAGACTCCTCCCCACTAGAAAACTCTCGCAAGTGTTCCTGGTTAGCTATTCCCGGCTGTTGCTCAGCCAGAGGAGAAGAATCAGAGGAGGTCGAAGGTCCTGACAGCTCTATTAAATCAGGTTCGTCTCTCCTAGTTAAATCCATTTCCTCATCCTGACTGCAATCCAAATCGCTCAACAGAGCCGGCTCATAATTTACAGCCATTTCCTCTTCGCTTGAGCTCACATCTGCCAACGGAACAGATTCCAACTCCGGAGTCACAACATGAAGCAGTATATAAATCTAAGTGCTATTGCTATTTTCCTCACCCTAAGACTCAAACGCAGGATTTCAAATCTGCATGCCTTCCCTCATTATTGAGCTATTATTATTGTTGAGCTATTTTTTAATGCTTAAATGGACAGGTTCACTCACATTTATGGCAAAAAGCTTCATCTGACCCATCGGGGCAGTGGTTCTCTCCATCACAAGCATAAGTGATGTCAATGCAGCAGCCGTCATCACAGAGGAACTGGTATCGGGAACATTTGCCAATGCAACCTGCAGTAGGTCAATTCTCAGATTAGAAGGCAAATTAATTTGCAAAAATCTAAGAAGCAGCTGTTTAAAATGGATATTGAAACAGTGGAAGCCCCATCCTCCCGTTATGCATCCTTTCATCCCTTCCTAACCCTATGAATATTTCAGGTAGAAGAATAAGGCAAAACCATTCAACAAATGGTATCTCTGGACAAGGGGAAAAAAAGCAACCATCCGGTTAGACCAAATTCTGCCTGCTTTACAAATTCAGCATACATAGGACATAAACTGTATTCTACTTGCTGAGCTGAGAAGCTGCTGCTTTGAGCTGATTGCTCGTAATTATTGCATTTTATATGATGTGACCTTCATTACATTTATTTATTGGATTTATATCCTGCCTGTTGTTTCAAAGCTGAAGGTAGCATATGTAGCCCTCCCATTTCTTTCTATTTCCCCCTACATTGTATATATGTATCCTCTACATATGCATTTATTTCACAAAGTGATTTTGTGAAGTCTGGGGAAATTATGAATATTTAACAATAGAGATTACACCTGCTCCCCATTTAGCAATTATCTCAGCTAATAACCATTTTCACACATAATTATAATCAATGGTAATAAAAATCATTTTCCAACCAATATGTGCCCTTATGACCAAATTTTGGGTATCTAACAACAGTACATGCTGAAGTGAGAGTAATGCTGGTATAGCCGTGTAAGAGAACCATCTGAATGAGATGACAGCAACCAATGATTTTGCATTGTCCCTCCCACCCTGCCCCACCCCATGTGTTCACTTAACAATCATTTTATTTTGCTCAATACTTAACTTTCCTGGAAGTTGGAATGGGGCTCAGTTGCTAAGGTCTGTAGGTAGTTCTATATGTAGCTCATGGCTGAATTTTGGAATTCTTGGTATTCTCCGAGCTTGGTTTGCTTTGTGCAACTCTTTCATTATCTGGTTAGGAGTGAGCTTTGTTTTCTGTTTAGATATAGTAGTCTGGACTACCAGCCCTGTTGGATTTGGGCAGGATGTGATAATTAGTGGTATTGTTCTTCTTTCATTGCTGCTTAGTGCGATGATTAGATATTGGTTCCTCCTTCCCTGGCTGCTGGTATGTTGATAAGAAAGGAAGTGCTCAGCAATGTTTGTTCCTTTTTCGGCCTATGGTTAGTCCTTTTGACTGCTTCATAAATGGGAGTAGTAGTCCTCAACTTACAACCATATTTAAGCCCAGCATTGAGACAGTTAAGTGAGTTTTGCCCCATTTTACAACCTTTCTTGCCACAGTTGTTAAGTGAATCATTATAGCTGTTATGTTAGTAATCCGGTTAAGTGAATCTGGCTTCCCCATTGGCTTTGCTTGTCAGAAGGTCGTAAAAGATGATCACATGACCCTGGGACATGGCACATAAATATGAGTCAGGTGTCAAGCGTCTGAACGTTGATCACATGACTTTGGAGATGCTGCAATGGTTGTGTGAAAAGTGCTCATAAGTCACTTTTTTCAGTGCCGTTGTAACTCTGAGTGGTCACTAAACAAACTGTTGTAAGTCAAGGACCACCTGTGTGTCTGTTGACAGATCATCTGTCAGAATATCAAGCTTGTAATTATCTTTATAAGCATCAGGGGCAACCTAGAATATCTGCCAGAAACTGGTATCTTAGGAGACCAGATTCCTTTCGGTAATTCTCTTGAATTTTTAGTGTAGCTCAATCTCACTCATGCAACCCAAAATAAATCTTTAGATTATTTAAATCGAGCTCCTGAATAAAAGTGGAGAACATCATTCTGATAAATAAATAAATAATAGGAGAAAAAAGGGTCAGGAGAGCAAGGATACTTCCCAGCAATGGTTGCTATGGTGATTAGAATGTTGGGGGAAAAAATACAGCTGAGCTGGAGAGGTTGTAAAAATCTGGAGGGAAAGAAAGGGAATATGGAGCAAAGTTGAGAAGCTAAAAAGCAATGAGCCAGGCCCAGGGTGCAACAATGGAGTCCTTCTCCAAAGACTGGGGCAACCTAGGCTGGTAGAGACAGGAGGCCTGTGGGGAGAAGGGAGATGCAGTATCTGCAGGAAAGATAGACTGTGGTATCCTCTGATCTTGGCACCTTGTAAGTCATGCATCTGGTCCCCAACATCTGAATCTGACTGTTGGTTATGACTCAAGGATGAGATGGTACCTACTGGAATTGGTTATATACTTAGAGAGATGCAGAAGTAGGTGGTAAAAGCTTGTGAGCCTTTCAAGGTACTCCAGAGAAGAAACTAACTCTACCTTGTCAGAGTACATTCATTAACCGGCAGAGACACGTTTAACAAAGTCAGCCAGTGAGTAAGCATGGCAAAGACCAGCCAATGGGAGATGACAGCCTGGGTGTGTTTGGCTCTGTGTGCTTTGCTGAGAACTGAAAGTGAAATTAGTCTTGCTTGCTTGCTGAAACTGATATCTGCTCTGAGCTGGTGCTGCTTGTGTTTTTGCTTATGTTACGTTGAAAGAATCTACAAATGGTATTGTAAACTTTACTCATATTATTATGTTTATAAAGAAGTTAATGATCCTGCTGAATCAGTCATCTGTGTGTTTTCTGGACTTGAATTTCTGCTGCAAACTTTAACATGCCTTTCTTGTAAGGGTCTAATAATAGAATATTGCAAGTCTGAAAGCACTTCTCCTCTCCCACACCTTTACTTTCCAGGGAACTAAGGAGGGTCCCTTCTGAGACACTTTCTACACTCCCATTCTTTCTGTGGGCTGAGATGTCTCTTATCTCGTCACTCCCCTGGTTCCAGCTCTTCTGCCTTCTGTCTTTCAAGGATATTTCTACTGACATTTCAAAGCCAGCACATGTAATTGCTAAGGTATTGGACTAAAAATAGCCAGATCCTTATTCAAGTCCACTCTCAACCATGGTTACTCACTAGGTGACTTTGGATGGTTCTTTTGCTAGCTCCCCAATCCCAATCTACGATTGCTTGTAGGGGAAAAAAATGGAGGACTATGCCATCAAGTTCTCTAGGAGCTCATTTAAGACACGATTGAAATGTAGGAATTATGGACAAAGTTGGCACACAGGATGAGTGCTGGAACAAATGCTTTGCATATTTGTTATTTTTATTTTCTGTTTGTAGATTGTGCCCAGATGTCATCTTGTTTTTGGCTGGCATTGGTTTTCATGTTACTATTTGTAAACCACCCAGAGCCAATATGAGTAAATACCATATGGGATTCATTTAACTAGATGATTGGAGCAATTGTGCATTATGTAAAAAGGAATGAAGCATTCTTGGTATTGTATATAGAAGGAAAAACTACTTTCTCATGAGATAAAGTTGTTTAAATGTGTTGCTCAATTTCAAGATCTCTGCCCAGGTTAGTATTGTGTTAGTATTGTAGGTCCTGCTATAGTGGGATATATAATGGCAAAATTTGCCACATAGAATGGCAAAATTATGACTTAGAGACTACATCTGTAATACAGTTTACTGGAATGCATGCCAGGAGAGCCAAATGAAAAAAAGAACAGGCCTTTGCAGTGTTTTTCAACCTTGGCAATTAGAAATTCTGGGAGTTGAAGTCCACACATCTTAAAGTTGCCAGAGTTAAAAAGCACTGGTGTAGAAGGAAATGTGGGGGATATTGTACCTTGTGGAAATTGCCTCTTTAATGTAGTTTAAACTATAAAGACCTGTACCCTATTTACAATGTATTTAAAGCACGCTCTGTTGTGATTTTAATTACAGCAATACACAGTCTTTCTCTCAACTTTACCACAGAACAAGGAAACAGTTATTTCAGCAGTTTTCTCACCTAATTCAGAATGAATCATTGGAAGTACTGTCACTGAGACGTTATCTGAACTCCTTTGGCCAGCTGTGTCAGTCACGGTCAGCTGTAGTGTGTATTTCCCTTCTGGCATATGAGAGAGCTTCAGTGTTCCTGGCTGAGGTACCTGAGCCAAATAAAATAGGGCATTGATTGAATCCCATCCTTCATACTGTAGCTATGAAGGTACAACTCTCATACAATCATGACATGCAGACACACATTCTATCATATACATAGGAGGATGTAAATGTAAAGGCATCATGCCTTTTTATTCCTACCTAGGTTGCCTGAGCACAGGTAAAGCAAGTCCAGAAAAGTCTAGGATTTATTGGTAACATGGATACTGGAAACAAATACAGTGATCATTTGTAAGTCCCCCACCCTGAATCACATTGGATCAATGCTCTCTTTCATTTCAAGATGGCGTAGCAAAAAATACAGATTTGAGAAAGTACACATTTCATTGCAGTGCTATCATAAAAGAGCAAAGTGTTTGAAATTCTCCAGGACTGCTGCTGTCATGTCATTAGTTTTAAATCTTAAAACTGATCTTAAAATATAAAGAAGAAAGTCATATTTTACATCTCAAGTCAGTGAATCAGTCAGCTTTCTCAGGTAGCAGAGAGCAGGAAGTTATTCTTTCAAGCCCCCAAGACATTTTCACAATGAAGAACACTGTAAGCCACAAGTCCACATCTCAGGTATGATGGAAGATAAAATGATTTAGTAATGAAATATGTTTCACTTGCCAGTCTTGTCAAATGGAGGGAAGCAGCATCATTTATTTTTGGCTCAGAAACAAACCTCGCTTAAATTATCATCTTCACCAAAGAAGAAAATAAAAGGAGTTTGTGTGCTTGGGTGGGTACATAGAGGATACACAAATGGATGAGAATCCCACGAAGCAGGAGTCCATATAATCAGGCATCTGATAGTTGGTACAGAAAAGCCATTTCTTCACAGCTTTTATCACTGATTCTACTCTGATTCTTTTATCATAGATTCTATGCTGTTGTTTCTAGAATTTTTTTTAGATCTGAGAATTCAGTTTAGCTAACAATGCAAGCTTTGCGTATGCAATTCTCACTGCTTATCATTCAACTAAACCAATCTTCCTCTTCTACAGATCCCCACATCCATCTTCCCTTGTCACTAGTAGTAACTTCAACTATGCTGCATAGTTGTGCATCAGACTGAAGCATTAGAATCTTAGCACCTCACTGTGTTGCCTGTGAAGAAGAGCACTCTTATAGCTATTGAGAGAGAAGGGGCAGCGAAATCTTTGAAGGCTTACTGTAGAAAAAACAAGTTCCATTGAAAGGATTATTACAGAAAGAAATGTATTATTTTCTTCCTGTTATGATTAAATCACAAAACTGTATTGTTTCTTCTACAGGGGATGGATCAGTGGTGGGAGTCAAAAATTTTTACTACCAGTTCTGTGGGCGTGGCTTCGTGGTGTGGCAGGGGAAGGATACTGTAAAATCTCCATTCTCTCCCCACTCCTGGGGGAAGGTTACTGCCAAATCCCCATTCCCTCGCCACCCCACTAGCCTGCTTTCCAGCTCCATTCTTCTTTCCAGGGCAACAAAAGAAGACCCAGAGATCAGCTGGGACTCGGGAAGCAGAGAATAGATGGGGGCAGGGCCAGTCAGAGGTGGGATTTGCCGGTTCTCCGAACTACTCAAATTTTCCGCTACCGGTTCTCCAGAACTGGTCAGAACCTGCTGAATACCACCTCTGGGATGGATCTATTCCAACATTTCTCAACCTTAGCAATTTTTAAGACATGTGGACTACAACTCCCAGAATTCCCCAGCCAGGCTTGGAGTTGTACTTCACATTCCTTAAAATTGCCAAGGTTGAGAAACCCTGATCTATTCTGTCAGTTTTCAATAGCAGGTGGCAGCCATGGCTCAGAAGGCCTTTGCACAGCTACAATTATACTGTACCCACTTTGGATCAGGAGGCCCTGTTCATAATCACTGATGCCTTGATCACCTCTTGGATTATAGCAATGTGCTGTATTGTGAAGTTGTTTCTGAAGACCAGTTGGAAGCTGTAGCTGGTCCACAGAATGCAGCATTACCGATAGCTATGGGTATCTCAGTATGCCCACTTAATGTCTACTTTGTGAGCTACACTGCTTATCAGTATGCTCAGGGGTACAATTAAGATGTTGGTTCTCATGTATAAAACTGTTCATGGTGCAGGGCCATGTTATTTGTGCAACTGTTACCTCTTAATTACTTCAGTCTGTCCAGTAAGATCTTGCAGTCTTGGCATGCCTGTCACTTAGACAGTGTCATCTGGCAGAAGGTAGAGGATGGGCCTTCTTAGTTGCCACTCTTGTCCTTTGGGACAGCATCCCCATAAGATATGGGTGGCCTTGCCCTGCCTGCTTTTCAAAAACCGTTACTAACTTGGCTCTTTCCCCAGGTACTGAGTCAGATATGCTCCCATTGGCTGAAGCTTTTCCAAGCATTTTATGTCCTGTTGGGTTTCTGATTATTTGTTCATTTGTGTGGTTTTTATATGCACTCAGTTTTGATTTGTTTATTGCTGATGTGCTACTCTGAATCATGTGCTGAGAGGGCAGCTATATAAACCATATAAATAAATAAATAAATAAATAAATAAATAAATAAAACTAACAAAATAAAATGTCATTTGTGTTGGCATAAGGCACACTAAAACAATACAAGTTGTCTTTATTCTAGCCCGCTGTCCCTGACCTAAATGCTGTAGGTCTTTCCAAAAGGCACTGTGATATGTTTAGTTTCTCTTACTCAGAATTCAGGTGACTTGAACAAAGCATCTATATTTTATCTTGTTCAAACATACAGTTCTATTCACCATTGTGAGCTGAAGAATAGAAAATTAACTCATTAACATCAACATTACAGTGAACAAATATAATCAGTAACTGACCCCAATTATGTTAACAATAACTGTAATCAGGCTTTATGTGTTGGCTTCTGTGAGCCAACCACTCTCTGTATTAGAGATGACCACGATGACTAAAACTGCTAAGACCTCTTTCCTTTATATGCAGGAGTCACAAGGTATCTTTTGTGTCACATCTGATGGGAAAGGCAGATGTCATTGGGGTAAAGTGCTCCCTCAAATAACCTGGTCCTTTTGCCATGTGGAAGATTGCTTGTAATTTTTACCAATTCAGTTTTCCTTGTATCTTTTTTTTTTTTAATTCAAGCCACCCATTATAATGAGGTTACTTTTTCCACACTTTCTCTTACTTTATAGTCTCCCTTTTAAATTGGGGAATAAAATGGATATTCATGATCAAGATCAATTTGCAGTCATTCATACAGTAGCTTCAGTTAATGTATGCTTATATCCAGTAGGTCTAAAACTTTTAATGTAACTTAAGCAAGCTGAAGGTCTGGGGGAAAATCTGCTAAATTTAAAGTGAAATAGTCTTATTTATGTTTGGGGTTTGCCATTTGATTTTTTTTTCCATATAGCAATCTAATTTGCAAGATACACCAATAAACGAGCCAAATAGTTTAACATATAGGATAGACATACCCTTTAAATATTTCAGTGGAATTGCAACAATATTGCAACCCCATTGGAGATAAATTTTGATTAAGCAAAATACAACTGCAGTACATAATAAATAAATAACAAAATTGCTATTTATAATAACATAATAAAGTAATAACTACTGCAGAAGTACCCCTTCGACTGCATCCGAATGATGACAATAGGGCAAATCCCGAATTCAATAAATAATTGCCAATTTGGAGGAAGTGTTCCTATAAATATCTATGGAGATTCTCAATTATTTGAGAGTTGGACAAGAAGTGAAATGTCTTCAAAGAAAAAGATCTATCCAACATAAAAATCACCTTGTTTTGCAAGCCTCTCTTCCTGGAATCAAGCCTGGAAAAGACAAAGAAGGCAGACTTCTGGGGATTCTCCATAGATCACTCATTCCTTCTATTTTCACTGCCAACCAAGCATCCTTCCTTTCCTTTTCTGTCAGTTATTCTTGTACACATTTCCCTTGCCCCAACTTCTTTCAGTTTTACACTCATTGCACATGCCTTCAAAATAAAGAAAAGATGTCCCTGTCTTTGAGCACAGTGCAGCCCTGCACTCTTCAAGACATGCATTTTCCTAAATATGCAAGCAAGTATATGTTAGTCATATTCTGCAATTCTACACCAAGCAATAGCTCACTAAGGTAAGAGAAATAGCTGAAGCAATCTTGACCTGATCTTCCCATTACCAGCTAACCAGAGTGGAAGGAGAGTGCACTTAGGACATTCCATAACACATGCAAAATTGGGATTCTTTATCTCTGTTATGCATTAAAACTGGAGAAAACTTGATCCTGGTGTGATAGATGAGTCTGTCATCTGCACCTCTACAGTTGTCTGGTTTGGCTCTGCAACCAAACAAGACAGACACAGACTTCAACTGACAATTAGAACTGCAGAAAAAACAATTGCTACCAATCTGCCTTCCATTGAGGACCTGTATACTGCACGAGTCAAAAAGAGGGCTGTGAAAATATCTACAGCCCCTTCACATCCTGAACATAAATTGTTTCAGCTTCTACCCACAAAACAATGCTATAGGGCACTACACACGAAAACAACTAGACTACAAAGACAGTTTTTTCCTGAATGCCATCACTCTACTAAACAACTAATTCCTACAACACTGTCAAATTATTTACTAAGACTGTATTATTATTATTCTTTTCTTCCTAGTACCTATCTCTTCCCACTTATGACTATAATGGTGTTGCTTGTATCTTTACAATTTATATTGTTTTATTTGTTTCCTAGTATGATTTGATTGCTTATTAGTAACCTATGACTATCACTAAGTGTTGAATCTTATGAGTCTTGATTAATACACTGAGAGCATATGCACCACCATATGGACATTCCTTCTGTGTCCAATCACATTTGGCCAATAAAGAATTCTATTATATTCTATTGAATAGAATTAGCCAACCACTAATTCATCTAGATAGGGCAGAACCACATTTGCAGAGGAATCTGGCTTGGGTGGGCAACTCCTCATATTGCAATTTGTTTGTTATCACTCAGAGGGTCATGACATTGACTCCTAACTATCGTAACAATACCTTCCTTTAGTGTGGGCAGTTTGTTTTGCCCCTCATTCTGAAGGCTTATAGAATAGAATCATTTCCCCCCGGACAGATTAGTCACAATAAAACAAAATGTCAATCTGCTCAAAAGATTGAGTGACTAGTCCCAAATCACTCAATAGATTTTCATGATTGAGGGTGGACTTGAATTTTGTTTGTTCTTAGTCACTGTGATTTATAAATCATTATTTATGGCTTAACATGTGTGAAACCAACTGTGATTTATTCAGTAAATTGTAATTATATAAACAAGAGCTTAACAAAGATGCATGAACTAGGATTCAGACCTATTTAAAAAAGGAACTTTTTGGATATGACTATAGTAGTTCCACTGATTTTTATATATTTAGTCTGAACTTCACTGAATCTGATTGTTCTCTATGCGTGCAAGAGTCTGTGCATGCATTCATCTGTAAACCTAATTTCACAAATACATGCTTCAGGAAACAAATGTCAACAAAATAAGTGACCATTTCTAATATTTCTTTGCTTTGCTTTATTCTGACGGAACAGTGAATATTTCTCAACTCTGTTGTTTCCAAAATTCCACAAAAGGTGCAGCAAATAGTATACCTTGTATTGCAAAATATAATGTACCTGCATATCAACGGAAGATGCACCTTGAAGTAATGTCCACTCATATCGTATGATTCCATGGTCATCCACACTTTCTCTGCCATCCAGAATAACCCAGTCAACAGGTAGTTGAAGAATAATATCTTCTCCTGCCTTGCTAAGAGGAGGCTCATCAGTTTCTAATTAAAATAAAGAATCTTCGTGAAAAAATGAGTATACATCACTTAAAGTTAAGATTATTGTCTTTGCCTGATTCAATTGTATTGTTTTAGTATATTTTTAAATAAAAAAAATCTGTCCTAACAACAAAATATTTTCGTCAATCTACTTCAGACTTTTAGTACAAGTTTATCGGACACAGATGAAAAACTTCTATATTTCAGGTTTATGAAGCCTATATAAAGTAGACTCTGAGATTTTAAATTAGATAACATTTTGCTTTCTATTTAACCATCTACTAACAGGGACACAGACTCAAGCATATATTCACTGACACCGTTGGGTGACTATTTTATGGTCACGGTTTTGACATCTAGTCCTCCCATCCTGCAAAATGTTTTTTCCCTTGTGAAAAAGGTTTCTGCTTTTCCATTTGATACTCAGGATCAAGCTTTGGTTGAGAATTTATTTTGACATGTTTTTTGCCTACCTAGGGTTGCAATTTGGCCAAGGATGCGCTTGTTGTTGGTTCCCCCCTCCCCCATACCCCTCCAACATTCTGCAGCCCCCTAGGCTGCCATTGCTTCCATTGCTTCTGAACTAAGGACATGAAACACGAATTATCTCTTGTCTTTCTTTGGGGTTTCAATGAGTTGTGGAAAGCCTGGAGGCTGCACACGGATGGAGGGATAATTGCATATCGAATGTCAGGCGCTGCTTCACATATCATTTGGCTGTATCGCTTGACTGTCTCATAATGTAAGTGCATGCACACTGAACCCTTCTTAAAAATGTTTCATCAAAAAGGAAATGTATATGTTTATTTTCTATACACTTAATTGGAATGTCTAAAAAGCTGCAATGGAAAACATTGGCAGATTTTTAATTGACTCAGTTAAGAATTTCAGGTGAAGAGGCCCATTGAGCATTTCGGGTCCACTGTGGATAATAGTTGGATAATATTTTATGCTCATGATTATCCTGCTCATTTTTGAGCCAGGCTAGTAAATGTAAGTTGCGATTTTGGTATGTAACTGAAAGCCTTTCTAAAAGGCAAGACAAAGGCATACATAATCATTGGTCACTTGGCTTGTCCAGAGCCCCAATTTGTAACCAGCAATAGAAATTTGAGTTAATTATCTCAGGCAACAGGGCTATAAAAATAAAATTCTAGTGTTTTGGAAAACAGCTGCAAGAATAATTTGAAAAATGGAAGGACCAAACTCAATGAATTGATTCTGGAGCTGCAATGACACAATAACTAACACGTTAATTGAATCATGGTTTATTGAATCAACACAACTGACTAGTTAACTGTGGCCTCACACACAAATGAGGAAAATACATTTCACTTCTAATATGCTGAGTCAATCACTCAGGGTAAGGCAGCTTCTTCATTTTATTCCCTAATAATCACAGATTCATTTCCAGTCAGAAAAATAACACTATCACTCTTCAAAACTGAAACCTAGCTGTCCATGTTTAATGTGCAGTTGGCACACTAAACAAGATACGTTAAGAAGAAGCACAAATTATCACAGTGCAGAAAGATAAATTTGTGTTATGGAGTGGACTAGTTTGAAGTAGTTAGTCTACATATATCAAAATTAGATTCATATCTGACCATCTTCTGCCAGTCCCAAATCAATTTTGAAGTAAGAATAGACACACAGAGCACCACTCTTTAAGGATTCATAAAATCTGGAAAACAGGCCCAGAGTAAGGCAGCAAGGATGATCAATGAATGCAAAAAACTAAAGGAATGGAAATGCAAAGCCTTCACAAAACGGAGAGTGAGGTGGGAAACAACAACCCTCCTGATGTCACAAAGAAGAAAGCAAAATCCTGTTCTGTATTATCCCATGATAATTAAAAGAATACACTTGAAGCAAAACTTCACAGAGGAAACAATCATCCATAGGGAGTGGGAGCTGCCTTTTATTGGATATAACCAAGCAGAGGGTACATCCCTTCTGGGAATACTTGGAACTGAATACCTACCAAAGAAAGCCATGGAATGGAAAAAGCAAACAGCCTGTGCAGCTATACAAATATGTGAAGTAGATGATGCTGGCATTTTTTTAAAAAAATTGTTAGCCACCCAGAGTTGCTTGCTGGGATGGGCGTCAATAGAAATCAGATAGATAGATAGATAGATAGATAGATAGATAGATACATGATAGATAGATAGATGAATGATGGAGAGATGATAAGATATGGGGGGGGGGAGGGAGAGAGGGAGAAGGCAGAGAGAGAAAGAGAATGAGAATCAATCTTTGGGGGGCAAGGCGGGGAGTGAGTTATTTATTTATTTATTTATTTGATTTGATTGATTTGATTTGTCAATTGCTTACAAGATAATATATATAAGTATAAACATGAGTAAGAATACAGGGAATAGGTACGAATAAATGGGGACAGTAGGACAGGGACGGTAGGCAGGATGGTGCACTTAGCAGGCCCCTTACAGACCTCTTAGGAATGGGGTGAGGTCAATAGTGGATAGTTTGAGGTTCAAGGAGTGGGGGGTTAATACCACATCACCTCTCCATTCCTATATACTAGTATTAACGGCATTTCTTCTGAAGAGCCTGCTGCTCACGTGCAATTCGCTCCCCCCTCCCCGCTTTTCTTCCCTGAACTGAAACTCTTTTCTTATTTTAGATTCCGATCAAGAAACCGGCGAACTCTTAAGCCGACGGGCCGTTCTTCTTACCCAAAGCCGAAGAGTGGCGGGTGGGTTCCAGGAAGTAGCTGTTGTAGCCGCGCTGAGGGGAGAAGACACAGACCGCGCGGCCGCGGTAGGTGCAGTTGAAGAGATAGCAGCGGACCGAGGCCGGCTGCTGCTGCTGCAAGACGGCGAGGGTGCAGAGGGCATCGGCGCAGCAGGCATCCAGGCAATGCCTGGGACTGTCCACCGAGCCCGGAGAGCCCAGGAACGTGGCCCCCGCCGCGATGGAGTCCTTGGTGCGGATGATGGAGTCGGACCTGACCGAGAAGAAACTCCCGCCGGTGCCGGCGGGTCCTTCAGTCCCTCTTCCTCGGCAGCGTCCGGCCACTTCCTCCAGCTCGGAGGGATCCCGCTCGAGCTGGAGCTGGCGGCGGAACTCCTCCAGCAGCGATTCCACCCCCGACGCCGCCGGGGATCTCAGTTCTCCGCTTGACGAGTCCGGCGCCCCGAGAAGCAAAAGAAGCGGCGGGAAGAGCCCGAGGACGAGGAGGCCTGGGGGGCCGGCTACTTCCGCGGCCATAGCACCCAAGGGACGGTGCCCAGCCACCGGGAGCGGAGGACGATGGCGGCGCTGACGACGACAGAAGGAAGGAAGGAAGGAAGGAAGGAAGGAAGGGAAAAGCCTGGCTGCTACCAATGCGGTCCGGGAGAAGGAGAAGAAGGGGGTGGCGGCGGCCGCGCCATGCTGGCCCCTCCCTGCACCAGCCCGCCGAGGACGGAGAGCAAAGGCAAGCGGCTTCAGTCAGCACCACCGATCCCCGAACAGTTCCAAGCGGGAGGCCGCCCCGCCCACGCTCCGTGGGCGGAGGGGAGGAGCTCTGGGGATGCCCCGCCTAGCCCTCTCCGGTGGTGGGGGGGGCAGTCGCTCCTTGCTACGTTGGGTTGCTGACGTTCAGAAGGTGGGATTGTCCGGGTGGAGGTGCGGGGTGGCAGTTCCGGGTAAGGTCTGAGGAAGCTCCTGATGCCGCGCTTCGACTGAAGCAGGACACCTGATGGAAGCAGAGCTCTGTATCTGCGGTGGCCTATACCCTCATCGGCTCAGGTTGATCATGACGGAGGAGGAAGAGAAGGAGAAGAAGGAGAAGAAAAAGGAGGAGGAGGATGTTTCACCTGCTATTTTTTTTTTATTTTGAGATGTATTACAGCAGGGGTCCGCAAACTTATAATATTATTATCTTATAATATTACATTAATATTATTATATTATATTACATTACATTACATTATATTATAGTTATTATATTTATTATATTATATTAAAAAGTATATAAAATCATACATTGCAATGTCCTACCTGTCAATGAATACTTCAGCTTCAACCATAACAATACAAGAGTACACAATACATACAAACTCAAGGTAAACTGCACCAAACTTGATTGCGGGAAATACGACTTCAGCAACAAAGTGGTCAGTGTCTGGAATACTCTACCTGACTCTGTGGTTTCTTCCCCAAACCCCAAAAACTTTAACCTTAGACTGTCTACTATTGACCTCACCCCTTTCCTAAGAGGTCTTTAGGGGATGTACATAACCACACCAACGTGCCTACAGTCCCTGTCCTGTTGTTTCTTTTTATTTTTCTTATATATCCGTTTCATGTATTCATAACTATGTTTATACTTATACCTGTGATCTTATAATCGTTTGAGAAAATAAATAAATAAATAAAAATAAAATAAAACTTGGCAACTTTAAGACTTGTGGACTTCAACTCCCAGAATTCCTCAGCCAGAAAAGCTGGCTGGAGAATTCTGGGAGTTGAAGTCCACAAGTCTTAAAGTTGCCAAGTTTGGGGACCCCTGTATTACAGGTACACAGCGATCAGGTCCCAATAAGAACTTGTCCCCAACTCTACAATACTCTTTCTCTGGAGAATCACATGCCATGGTTGTAGATGTAAAGAGCACAATCTGACACAGACCAATCCGCCATGCAGATTTTGTGGTTCCTCGGCCAGTTTTGTTATAAACCGTGGCATTTGCATTTACGACCGTGACATTCTCACTTACAACAACAGCATTTGCTTGACAACCAAAACAAAAGTTGTAGAATTGAATTGGCCACATTAGACTAACTGGTTTTATGACCGCTATGACTTATGACTGCAATGGGCAGATTCCATTATGGTCATAACTCGAGGACCACCTATAAAGTTATCCTAGCATGACATGGGTTTGGTGACAAACCCAAGCTGGCTGTTATAAATTGTTGCGTTCCTGTTCAAAGGATCATAAATATATTGTGAATAAATTGCTTAACTATCTTGACTATGGTATAGTCATCAAGCTAACATGTTTGTAACTCCCTGAGTTTTCCTTCTGCCCTGAGACTTCAGGGTTGTCCAGAAGTTCTCAGAGATTAAATTCAGCTTCTTTGTGATCATCTCTTTAACTTCCTACAGTACATTAGGACAGGGGTCTCCAACTTCAACAACTTTAAGATTGTGGATTTCAACTCCCAGAATTCCTCAGCTGGCTGAGGAATGCTGGGAGTTGAAGTCCACACATCTTAACATTGGCAAGGTTGGAGAGCCCTGCATTAGGATATAATTATTTTGGCCCTGGAGATCTAAATTCATTTAAATTAACTAAGTGTTCTCTTATTCTCTTCTTGTTTCTCTTGAGCTTCAGCTCCTTTCTTCCTCTGCAGACACAATGGTGATTGACACCCATCTCTCTCTCTCTCTCTCTCTCCCCCTCCCTCCCTCCCTCCCTCCCTCTCCCTCTCTCTCATATCAAGTCAGTTCAAAAGTGTATCGCCAGATTTATTATTTGGGGTTCAAATTCTGTATCAGGAATTGAACTCATGGACTCATGGATCCGTTCCTGCAATACCGCTAATGTCCAATTTGGATAGCTTTTAAAATTAATTTATTATATGTAGTCATCTGAAGTACAAAGGTCCAGGAGCTCACTTCACAATAGGTTTGACTTCTATAGAATATCACCTGGATACACATGTCTGAACAGTCCCTACTAGGACAAAGTTGGTCATCTACTGCTTTGTATTGATCAATGTAACTGAAAATATCGTGTCTATTAAACACTGCTGTATACAAAAATACATAAAATATAAAGGTAAAGGTTCCCCTTGCATATATGTGCTTGTCATTTCCAACTCTAGGGGTTGGTGCTCATCTCCGTTACAAAGCCAAAGAGCCAGCACTGTCTGAAGATGTCTCTCTGGTCATATGGCCGGCATGACTAAACGGTGAAGGTGCATGAACGCTGTTACCATCCCAACAAAGTGGTCCCTATTTTTCTACTTGCATTTTTACATGCTTTCAAACTGCTAGGTTGGCAGATGCTGGGACAAGTAACAGGAGCTCACTCCGTTATGCGGTGCTAGAGATTTGAACCGCCGAACTGCTGACCTTTCTGATCGACAAGCTCAGCGTCTTAGCCACTGAGCCACTGCATCCCCTCACATAAAATATATGCCTCCATGATAAGAGAATGAAGGGTGGAAGTCATTTAAAACCTCATACATGGGTGGGTTGGTGCTTCTCAGCAGAAAATCACCCACCACAACCACTTTTTTTTCTCAAAGTGATTTGGAGATTTCCGTGACCCATGGAGGCAATGCTGTCTTCTTCCCTTGTCTCTGAATCTTAAGATGGCAGGGCTTCTTCAGGTGAATGCCAACTTTCATCTTCAGTGACAGCCTTAGACCAGCTGCTGATTTATTTAAATATGTTTTCCATTTATTAAATTTGCACTCTGAGTTTCATTCAAAAGTTCAAGGTGGGGTCCATGGTATCCCTTCCATCTCCACTCTCTCCAAGTACGTTGATCTGAGAGAAAGAAAGACTGGCTTAAAGTCGTTGAATGAGCATTAATGGCTGAGGAAGGATTTGATCTTCCTGCTCCCCATCCAACAGCTTAACCACAGCTTCTCATAGGCCCGTGATGGTGAACCATGATGGCATGCATGCCAGAGGTGACACGTACAGCTCTCTCTGTGGGCATGTGAGCCGTCACCCCCAGCTCAGCTCCGCCATGCATGTGCATATGTCTCCCGGTGCCAGCTGGTCTTCGAGTCTCTGCCATGCATGTGTGGGGGTGGGGTGGGGTGTATGCATGGGGGACCTGCGTGCATGCACAGGGGGGTGGGGCACATCATGGGGGATGCATGGGGTGAGGTGCATGAACAGGGACATGTGCTTATGCGGGGGATGCGTGTATATGCAGGGGGTGGGCCTCATGGCCAGGGGATGCGCCATATTGCATTTTGGGGATGCGCACAAGCATACACGCTTTAGGCACTTGGTGCTGGAAAGGTTAGACATTACTGTCATAGGCTGTCAGTATGATCAGTACCACTGATTACCCTCTGACCAGTTTTGGGGATTCAAAATTTTTTACTACTGGTTCTGTGGGTGTGGCTTGGTGGGCGTGGCAGGGGAAAGATACTATAAAATCCCCAGTCAGAGGGGGTATTTGACGGTTCTCTGAACTACTCAAAATTTCCGCTACTGGTTATCCAGAACGGGTCAGAATCTTCTGAATACCACCTCTGCTTCTGACCCCTTTGCTTTGCTTAGTCGCACACTTCCACTTGTCTTCCTCTTTATTTTCAATTTGTGACTTTTTTTTTTCAGTACCCTGCATTTTGTGGAAGGTTAGCTGCCTTCAGGGCCCTCAGTTGAATAGAAAGGCAGGGTAGAAATAAAATAATCCAATAAAACAAAATGAATAGTATGTCAGATCACACTAGCAAGTCTTTGGTTCTTCCTCAGTGCTATTTAACAAAACTTATATGAATAAATATACAGTATATGAATAAACAACATTTTTATGCTGAAATTTAATTTTAGTTGTACACTTTCCATTTCATGGTAGGCATTAGAAAGGCAGTCATTTTAGTTTTTATTCAGAAGGTGGCAGCAGCTTACAGTATATAGATGTAGTATATAATTTTTGAGTATGTTTAATATCATAGGCATAATGCTACATTTAATGACAATGAATTATTGATAGATATTCTACAATAAGATAAACATATATATTTATTATGTCAATTATTTTCAAGCTCAAAACTATTTCCTCAAAAGTACAGAAGGATTTCAAAATAGAATTCTTTACAGTTATAATTGAGAACAATCCACTGACTTTCTAGATTTAAGATTCTGGGAGAAAAAGTGTTAATCCAGATTGGTTGCCTTCACTGGCAAATGCTAAGACTTAATGTGATAATAAATAAATAAACAAAAGAAACAATCATATCATATCTTGAATTATGCAGTAACTAATTCTGTTATTTGTCTGTGACAGCCTCCTTCAACCTTGACATCCTGCAGGACTATTGGATTAAACCTCCAGTATTTTCAGCAATGGCCATGTTGATGGTGTAAATCTGAGAGATAAAGTCCACATATTTGGAGACCAACCAATTAGGAAATGTCATAGCTGACCCATGATCTGTCTTTCCTGTATCATAAATACAATCTATCTGTGATTGATAACTACTAATATTCTCTTACTATTTTCTGTTTTTTTAGATGTTGGTTTATTTTGAAATGGTTCAATTCCTCTGCCACTTTTTATACTGTGAGCAATAGAATATTACCATCTTGAAATCCAGCAATTTCCCCTCATTTCAACTAGCATGGGATGATTAACCTATTCTGTATGTATGCTCATAGTTAGTTTCTTTTCCTTCTCAGACATTTAAGTTAACTTATTACAATATTCTTTCAAAGTTACCAGACACTGCCAACTGCTCCCAGATTGTTAAATGTCTTATGGTAAATATGGACCCAA